GAACAATAAAATTTTTGACGAAAGGAATTTATTTTTCGAAGAATCTAAGATTCCGAAAAATAAGTTTTTGATGAGAGAAAGATTAGTTTATTGTGCTTATAGGATGAATTTTTCTCTATCTTACAAGTGTTCCCTAAACATACCTAACTAATAGGGTCTTCGGGAATAATCTTCACACACTATGGATTTGCTAGGACTTGCCTTGTTCGTTTCTTCCATAAGACTTTCTGATAAAAATAAATAGTAGCACAAATAATATAAATTTAAATTTAATTTGTTTGCTTTGAATCATTCAAAAATTTCTCAGATTAGAATTTGACCCTTGAGCCAACAAGCTGGTGGATAAGATTCAACTTGGGAACCGAGCTCTTGACAATATCCCCCCAAAGGGATCTCGTGAAACTGTTATCCTAGCACTGATGAATACTCTCAAGACACCCTAATACTTGACCACACATCGAAAAATTCGCTATGTGTCGTTCTTCTGCTAAGATAGTTTTTGCCATGGAATGAAAGTCCAATACTTGAAATCAATCAGATTGATGACCAATATTGGTGTCAAAATTCTCCAACTTTGGGCAAGTCGCTGAATTGAAAATCTAGAGGAGATCGTTTTTCCCATGCTGCTTGGTATTTGTAGATTCCAAAGAGCCTAGCAGGTTTTCTGTTTTGTAGCTTGTCCTATTGAGTAGTCAAAGCAAGTCTTCATTTAATTCCTGTACATCCCTCTTTCCATTTGGGCCAGATAATATCCTCTGTTGGTGAGTGCCAAGGTTCGTAGTGCCAGCCTGGGTGAGCCTGCCATAAAGTATCATCACTCATGAAGGGAAGTAAGTCTCAGGGAGTATTACTGCTTTTGGAACAATTCAACAAATCATCTCTTCCACCAGAATAATATCCTTGTTGGATGAGTGCCAAGGTTCTATGCCAGCCTGGGTGACCTGCCCATAAAGTATCATGCACTCATGAAGGAGTAGTCTCTGGAGATTACCTGCTTTTGGAACATCAACAAATCATCTTCCATCCAGAACTGTCTCATTTCCCTGCCTTTGCCAAATTCAAGATTGTGACTGCTTGAGGATCTTTGTTCAGCTATGCTCAGAGTTTGTCTTTAAGAGAGGTAGCTACTTAGCACCTGGATAAATGGGCAATTCTTTTCAAGGATACCAGTTCAGCTTTTCTACTCAATGCATATGCTACACTTGGTTGAGCCTGGTTTGTACTCCAAGGAGAAATCAAATTCAGCTAGTTGCTCTTGCTACCTAGCTTGTTTACTAGTTAGCTTAGGCTGAGTAAGAAAATGGCTAGCAGCTAAATTATCTGTCTTCACCACAAACTTCGATCCCAAAAGGTAGTGCTTCCATTCCTTTAAGCAATCAACTATTGCCAATAGTTCTTTCTCGTGTGCTGCATATCGCCTCTCGATGTCAGTCAACTTTCAGCTTCTGAACGCTACTGGATGGTCTTCTTGCATCAACACTCCATCCAAGGCAAAGTCAGAGGCATCCGTTCGCACCTCAAAAGGTTGTAGCATATTTGGAAGAGCCAATACAGGTTATGCTATTATAGCCCCTTTGAGATTCTCAAAAGCTTTTTGACAATTTTGCGACAATACCCAAGCCAGACCCTTCTTTAACAACTCCGTCAGCGGCCAGGTCTTGTGTGAATATCCTTGTACAAAACGCTTATAGTAGTTGGTCAATCCCAAGAAGGATCATATTTCTGTCACGCAAGATGAGATCCTCCACTCTTTAATGGCATGGATTTTTGCTTCGTCCATTCTGACACGGCCCTGTTCAATGACATGTCCCAAGAATTTGATGCGTTGCTGGCTTAACGCACATTTTTCTTTTTTTAGGAACAGTTTGTTCTCTCGAAGCTTGTTAAAGACCAGTTGCAAATGTGCTTTGTGTTCTTTTATACTATGTTGTACACCACGATGTCATCTAAGCACACCACCTCAAATTTGTCCAAATACTCATAGAATACCTGGTTCATTAGATTACAAAAAGTAGCAGGTGCATTAGTTAAACCAAAAGGCATGACAAGAAATTTGAATGCTCCATGCCGAGCCACACATGTTTTTTATTCATCCCCCTCTGCTATACGGGCTTGGTGATAGCCTGATCGAAGATCTAACTTGGTTAAGTACCGAGCTTGTGCCAACTGATCGAACAGATCTGCTATCAGTGGAATAGGATATTTATTCCTCATTGTGACCTTATTCAGAGCTCGGTAATCGATACAAAATCTCATACTACCATCTTGTTTCTTCTAGAATAGTACTGGGGCCCTGAAATGAGCCTTAAAGGGTCTGATAAATCCTGCCTCTAGGAGCTCATCTAGTTGTCTCCTCAACCCGCTAATTTTGGTGGTGCCATTCTATAGGGGGCCCGAGCAGGAGGTTTAGCCCCAAGTAGCAACTCAATCTAGTGATCTACATCTCGATGGGGAGGTAAGGTTTTAGGCAACTGCCCCGGCATAATATCCTGGTATTCCAACATCACTCATTGATGAACTCAGGGTGGCCAGTGGGCTCTGTCTCTTCTTTATGGATTGGAATTACTACATATGAGGGTTCATCCTTCTTTATCCCTTTCTTAAACTAGAAGGCCGATAACAACTTCTTTTCATTAATCGGACTAGCAGTTGCTAGCACAACACACGGTTGTTTCCCCATCAGAAGAAGGAAATTCGCAGTAGGGATCGGCATGCCTTTCACCACATTCAAGAAATCCAACCCCAATACAATATCAAAGTCGTCCATCGGAACCACTGTGAAATTTATTTTCCCTTCCCAAGACCCCACTCGGCATAGGACATCAGTAAAATGTCCCACTGTCTTCACAGCCTCGGAATTCACAGCCTTCAACTTCCCCAAGTCCTTCTTCACCTGTAGTTTGAATTTCGATACCATTGGACAATTCAAAAAGTTATCTGTTGCTTCCATATCTACCATCGCCTTTGCTGACTTTCCATTCAGATTGAAGTCAATATACATCAATCCCTTTTTAGGTGGTTCAGTCTTTTCCCCTGCTTGTCGTTCCAAGGCCCCCAGGAATCTCAATGCTCCAACCACAGTGGGATCAAAACTGCCTAAGTCTGAAGCCTGTCTTTCATGCTCTTTTTCTTCTTGGAGCTAGAGGGCATTCATGGCCTTGTCTCTTACCATGCATTTTGACATTCTATGCGGCCCTTTACAAAAGAAACATTTGATGGTTCTAGCCACTCCTCCTCCTATATTATTTCCTCCTGGTGCTCTACGTTCCTCTCGGAAAGTGAAGTTCCTTCGTGGCTAAGCATTCCCGACTACTGCCTGACTTGGGGCATTTTTATAGTTGGAGTTCCAAGGCCTCCTTTCCATATTCACTTCTGAATTGGTTGAACTTCCTCCCCCACCTGTGGGTCTTACCCACTTGTTGGGGCGATTGTCACCCGCACCTAGTTGAGCAAATTTACGTTTGGGAAAGTTCCGGCCTCTACCGCTTTTATGGCTGATTCATAGTCGTTGACCTTCTGAGTGTCCATTTTGTCCTTAACCCAAGGCTGTAGTCCTTCCATGAAAAAGTATAATCGATCATCACTTGATATAATTTTGATATCCAGCATGCATTAGGTGAATTGTCACACGTACTCCTGGACAAAATCTGCTATACTTTTGACAACCTTCGCCAGGCATGATATGCTATTCTCTCAGGGTAGAATGCCGATTTCAATACTTGGCAAAACTCCTCCCAAGTGCCCATGCTAGTCTGGCCAACTCGGACCTCCTCAACTTTGGTGCGCCACCATAGCTTGCCATCTTCTGCTAAAAACATTGTGACAAGGCTCAATTTTTCTTCATCTGAGGTGGTATTCGTGGCCTTAAGTATCCAGATTGAAGAGGAAATTATCCACTGCCCATGCATCTCGCACACCTTTGAGAGGTGGGGGATCTGAAATTTTCATTTTCCCATTTCTCGGAGGGTGGATTTCTGCATTTCTAGTAGCAATTGAGAGTAAGTTGACCTTTTCTTTGACTACCTCGTAGTCTTTCATCCTTTCTGATAGTTTCGACAACTCCTCACAAACTCGTTCACCTTTGTCTTGGCCTCATCAACCACAGGCTTTATGTAATCACAAAATTCAGTGTGGGCCTCATCCAACTCCCTTAGCAACTCCACCAAGGTCTACACCATAGTCTCAAGATTCTTGATCTTTTCTTTGTCTCCTGCCTCACCACCTTGAGTTGCCGAGGCAGGACCTTACTCCCCATCTCCTACCTCACCACCGGTAGTGGCTGACGTGAGACACAGGGCATAAATCGAGCGATTCAATTCAGAGAGTGTGGTCTACATTTCCACCGCTTTCTCCTCTAGCGCATCAATGCGCTCTTTGGCCTCTTGCCATTCCGAAATAATTTTTGGCTCACCAACAATAACATTCTTTTCTATAAAAGCAGCAAGCTCTTCCACCCGCTTCTCTAAAGCTTCAACATGGGAGGATTTCGTCATTTTCATCACTCAATCTATCTACAATTCAATGCTCTGATACCAAATGTCACGGTCCCGTATCACGCACCAAGATTGGACCGTGTGGCGCTTGCTTGACATACCCTCAAACAAGTCGGCCAAGGATATCAATTAGTTATCTGTAAACCAATAATGGGCATTAGAACAACATAATACCGATATATGATCATATGCATTTGAATATAAGAACAATTCAAGCATCATCGAGGAATACATAATAAAACATATTACAACATCGCATATAGGGGCAAAATAGTAATTATTAATTTTATATTAAATATTACATCGAGGCAACCAATATTACAACAAGGCAACCAATGGCACCTTCTAGAGACGTAGAACTACTACGAAGTACCAAAACAAAGACTCTAACATTCTAATGACTTAACCACTCGTCAACCCCTGCACCCGGTTACTGGCTAAGTTCGCTGTCACGGTAACTTGTACGTATTCTTATACTCACGTGGTAACGCAACCTTATTACTGAATGTGCGAAACGAGGTAGCTATCCACAACCAACTTATGTAAATAATAATTAACAGAAACAAAAATCAGGTCTTTCTCACTCTCTAATCTCTACAACATTTCACTTATCTTAGCTATTGGAATAAGAGCAACGATCTCTGTTCCTCTCATGGCTCTCTGTATAAGAAATACAAGAGCAATTGTTAGCCATGTCAAATCAAGAATGGGTCTTTTTTGTGTCCTCAACCGCAGTGCTTCTGTTTCTTCTTCAACCCATAATAGCAAAACTCAATCTACAGCTCTATTCGCTCAAGATTTCAAGAACCCAGTAGCAAATTTCTATCACAAAGTGTCCTGCCGGTTTTTATCCTTCAAAGCCGATAGCGAACAGTTGGGTTCCCACTGTAGCTGCCTTGACAACAATCAGGTATAAATTTCTACCCATTGGGTTTCTGAAATAGGGAATTTATCTCTCTCACTTCATTGGTGGCTGTACCATAGGGTATCAATTAGAGAGAATTTCTTTTTTTTCCTTGGTAGTCGAAGCGTGAAAATGATTGAGTTGTGGGAAAAAATCAATTAAGTTGTTTTGTTTTGTGTATTAAAGATTATTTAACTTCTAGAATTTTAAATATAAATTGTTGCTTTATCGGTAATCGTATTGTTGAATGCTGAAATTTGTTTATAGTTAGTACATTTTGAATGAAAATTTTTGTTGAAATGGAAAAGGAAAAATAGTCTCAAATTACTTACCAGGAAGTTTATCGCGGATTTGTGGGAGGTTGTGGAGTTAACAAGAAAATGAAGTAAGGATAGCACTGTTACTGTTCAAGTTATACTTTTTTTGGTACTTGATGGGCTTCTTGCTCTGGCAGTGAACTTGTAGGTAGCAAATGTAAGAGGTTTCACTGCAATATAATTTCTTTATTTGGGAAGTTTAGTAATGTGCTCTGAGCAGAATACTTCTTGTTTACTTCATAAGTCTTACCACGCTTAACTAGTGACTACCAGATGTTTATATGCTTCTGAATATATATTATAATTAATCTGGTTAACTATGACATATGTGTGTATAACAGGGGATCGTAATGTGGCATTTCAGTGTCATATGATTGTCATATGATTGATAAATTACAAGGTCAAGAATGTTTACATGCTATTCTATAGGGATCAGTAGAGAATGGACTGAGAAACTATACAAATCTTAGAGACTGTTATTACTAAGTTACTTCAAAAATGAACAATGTTTGTGCTGGATGCATCATGTACGCATGCGTCTATGAACACAAATGTATTTGTATCGATGTAACCTCCCTTTATCTATGGCAGGTTTTGGATTTTCCTGGAGGAAAAGTTGCATTCACTCCAGAAGTGAGGTTCTTATTTGGATCTACTGAGGAGCGCATACCCTGTTATCGTGTCCTTGATGACAATGGTCAGCTAATTGAGAATATTAACTTTACAGGGGTATGCTTACCTATTTTCTTTCCTTTTCCCTTCCTCCTTGGTGGAAAATTGTTGCTCATTATTGATATATCAATGTATATTACCCTGTTCCAGTTCTGAGTCCACTAGAAAAGACTTACAGATTGTAATTTAAATAGGTCAGCAAGGAAATTGCTAGGAAAATGTATATTGATATGGTGACACTTCAAACTATGGACACTATCTTCTATGAAGCACAGAGACAAGGAAGAATTTCATTCTATGTGACAACAGTTGGTGAAGAAGCCATCAACATTGCATCAGCTGCAGCTCTCACAATTGATGATCTTGTTGTCCCTCAGGTGACTAGTTCATGCATAGACATGTGTATTTCCCTAGAGCACCTCCCTCTCTATTCTGTGGAGACTCATACATGCTGAAACCCAAACCCATGCATGTGTGTTTATAATGTTCCCTTAGATCATTAGTTATTTTCGGTTGTTTTGAATACGTTTCCTATGCCCATGAGGAGTTCGATTTCACTTTTCCCCTTGGGCATTTTTTTCTTGTGTAGTTAGGATACTGTTTATCTTTTGAATGTATGAAGTCTTAATGACTGACAAGTGAGCTTAAAATGGTGGAAAACATGATTTCTTCAATTGCATTGGTAGCAGCACTTGTGATTGATTATCTTGTTCATCAGGTTACAAGCACATTAAGCAGCCTTCTCTGGCCCCCATCCCCATCCCCACCATTTCTCTACCTCTCCCTCATATGCGTGTGTGAACATACATCCAATTAACACACACTGCTTGTACAGTACGTTTCTCTATATTTTTTGTTCCTGATGAAGAACTGCTGCAATCTTTCTCTTTTATGCATCCATTTGAACATTTCCACCTTATGTTGAGCAAGCTTAAATGATATTAAAAATTGTTTTCTTTATTACTTTTTGCAGTATAGAGAGCCAGGAGTTCTTTTATGGCGTGGATTCACTCTTCAAGAATTTGCAAACCAATGTTTTAGTAATAGAAGTGATGATTGCAAAGGTAGGCAGATGCCTGCCCATTATGGATCAAAAAAGCACAATTACTTCACTGTAGCATCAACAATTGCGTAAGATGAAAAACCTTTTGTACTTCTAGTTATGAGGCTGTTGTTGTTGTTATTCGCTCTCTCTTTTTTTTTTGAGTTACTAATCGAGGTGTATTTTATTTATTGCACTTCAGCTCACAGCTTCCACATGCAGTTGGTGCTGCATATTCTCTAAAGATGGATGGAAAAGATGCTTGTGTTGTCACTTATTTTGGTGATGGTGGATCAAGTGAGGTATATCTCCTCTGAAAAATCAAAACCATTACATGCTATTATTTTCCATCATCTTTGGACCATTTTGTTTAATTACCTGCAGAAAATTAAGCTTCCAAGAGTGACATTTTTATTTAATGATTTTTTGTTAGTGTCCTTTCATTTGGGTAACTATTCATTTCTTACAGCAAAGAGATGCTGTGATGATTATTTCCAGTAGTAACTAAATGAACCATTTAGCCTCAATGAATTTTGCTTTGAGTTTCTCTTTTTCTAATATGCATCAAATATTGTTAGGGAGATTTTCACGCTGCTTTAAATTTTGCGGCGGTCATGGAGGCACCAGTTATATTTATCTGTCGGAACAATGGATGGGCTATTAGCACTCCTCTTTCCGACCAGTTTCGAAGTATTCTTCCCTCTTCTGCATTCTCATATTTGGGAAATCGTAGTAAATAAAGCCTTGCTACATATAAAAGCAATTTTCTCTGAGGCATTCTATTTATCGGCAGGTGATGGTGTTGTTGTTAGAGGACAGGCTTATGGAGTTCAAAGCATTCGTGTAGATGGTAATGATGCTCTGGCAATGTACAGTGCAGTTCATGCTGCTCGTGAAATGGCAATCAGCAAACATACGCCGATCTTAGTAGAGGTAACAGGAGAATATTTCTCTCCCTTTTCTTCTTTCCTTTGGGGTTAGTTTGACAATTTTGTCTGCTGGGCATGCTCATATTTGCTTTTTGTTTTTTCCCCTATAAACAGGCTCTAACATATCGAGTAGGACATCACTCCACATCAGATGATTCCACAAAGTATCGTTCAATTAATGAGATTGAACTGTGGAGATCGGCACGAGATCCTGTTACTAGATTACGAAAATGGATAGAAAGCAACGGTTGGTGGAGCAATGAAGCAGAGTCAGACCTCAGAAACACTGTGAGGAAGCAGGTAAGCATCATAAGATAAAAGTATTCTGAAATGCTATACTAAATGTCTAAACCTCCATTTCAGGTTGCATTTGAAAGTTTATGTGGTTCACTGTAAAAGGTTCTCACTGACAACTATTTATTAACAGCTATTAAAAGCAATTCAAGTGGCAGAGAGAGTTGAAAAACCTCCAGTTGCAGATGTTTTTACTGATGTGTATGATGTTCTCCCATCCAACCTTATAGAGCAGGAGAAGTTTCTAAGAGAAGCCGTCAGGAGACACCCACAAGATTACCCATCAGATGTTCCTTTGTGAACCTTTTTCCATGATAAATAAACGGGATATCTGATATGCTTCATTTATGAGAATTTGAACTGAACCAATAGTTGCAGGGTTAAAAATCCTTAAGGTTGGCAGGGGCTGGGCAAGGTGCTAGGTTGAAGGGCCCTAGCTAGTACACGGGCTTGGGCAAAATAATGGAGTGACACTAGGAATAAGACTTTTGGGTCGTTTGTTATAACTGAATTCTAAATATTGTATATGAATAAACAACTTATTGAATTGAACGACTAAGGTTCCCTTTGTATCCATAAAATAACTTAGTTCAAAAATATTTTTATGGAAAACATCTTTTTTAATATTTTTCAAAATGATTTATTTTTCGTTATTTGGTTATAATATTAAAAATTAGATAAAAATATTAAAATTTTTATCTCATAAGATTATAAAAATATTAATAATAACAATAGAAATTTTATAATTTAAAAATTTTATTCATAAGATTATAAAAATATTAATAATAACAATAGAAATTTTATAATTTAAAAATTTTATTATTAAATATGAAAATAATACAAAAAATATATAAAAATCATGAAAGCCGGAGGTGGCCGGTGGTAGTTGTTGGTGGTGGTAGCTAATGGTAAATGGTGATCAATGATAGTGACTATGATGATTAATAAATTAAAAAATATGAATTTATAAAGTTCATCGATATCCAGAAAGTGTTTTACTCTTGTGAAAAATGGAAAATTGTTTTTCTTAAAAAATTACTTAATTTTCCTTTGATCAGAAAAATATTTTCTGTTGACTTATTTTCCTGAGAGTCCTAAACAATGAAAAATTGTGAAAATTATTTTTCTATAAGTTATTTTATGAAAATAAACGGAGCTTAAGTTGTAAATAGAGTTACGATATTGAGTGATTTTATTTGTTTGGTATACGGATGATTGCATTTTACATATTTAACATTAAAAATATAAATTACATTCTATACAGTAATACCAAATATATAAATATATTTATATTCATTTATCAATTGTAGATGAATAATTTATCTTTAACATTATATAATTTTCAATGGATATTATATATTTAAATATATGAATATATGAAAATGGGGATGACTAAAGATTTTAGCCAATGGCTACCTGACATGATATTGACTCAACCTGAATGGGTCAGGATAAACGAGGGTGGCACGTGGGTCGAATTTGTTGATTTAAAATATATAACTCCTATGTGCAAGTAAATAATTTTTTTCACCCAATCCGACCGATTAAACGCATGAATCCGCCAGGGGTTAGAAACGGATTGAATTGGGTTGAGTACGGATTCAACATAAATCCGTGGATCAAATAAATGATATTAATAAAAATATTCTTAAATAAAATGTAATTATTTAAGAGAAATTACTAAAATTTAATAATACAATAATTTTAACAAATTACAAATATATACCAATAACAATATTAAATTTCTTAACATGATTATTATCATCATCATAATCAACCATGACCACTTAAATTTCCTAATAAGGAATACAATCAGTAAAATTAAAAATATATGATAACATAATTATACAAAAAGTTATAGATTACGATATATATATATTCTAATAGCAACCATTCAAAGCAAGTTTATATAGAAAGAAAAAAAAAAAAAAGCAATAGTTTAAAAGGTAATATCTACTAAATATGTAAATAATTTCGTATTTATGTTTAAACTTGTAAATCAAATCAAATCAAATTAACTAAATAATTCATAACTACACATATACATATATGTATATTTATTTATTTGACATTATTTATGGATTGCGTAGGATCTATGGTTTATCTAGTGAATCCGTGACCCAACTCAACCCGTGAATTATAAAGATGACTCACTCAATCCAATCCGTTATATCTTCAAACCTGTCAGGTTGGTTTGGTTACTCGGAGTGGATCCGATTAGAACGGGTCTTGTGCAGCCCTAAGTAAATCCGACTCATTTGGTGGCAAAGGGATATGGATTTTAGAAATTAAATCTGAGTCAGGTTTGGTATGTGCTCATACTCGTATAATCCAACTCGAAGAGCGCATTTTAGTCTTTCTTTTCTCTTTAAATTGTTGACTTATAGCTCTACAACATTTGACTGAAGCAATGCCTTTCACATTCTAGTATTTTTTACGCAAAATATATAAATTCACCCTTGAACTTACTTGTTAAAAACCTTGTAGACGTAGTATTCTCAACTTTCAGGGAGAACTATTGTGCCCCTAATATTGCATATTTTTCTATTGTAACATTAATTCGTAGAATTTTTATTTTTTATATACAAAATATTGAATTGATGTGTGGTTAACACAAAATTTAGAACAATAAATTTTCACATTTTTAAATCATTTAATAGTTGTTTAATTGATCTAATTTATAAGTTGAAGTATTTAGTAAAAAGTTGAAGAAAAAATATAACCACACAAGGCATAGTTACCCATCTTAATTCTAATATTTTGACGATATTCCCCCAAAAATTAGTGATCTTGTTTTATTTGAAGAAGAAAGGATATGATGAAGTTTTGTTATGGAAAATAGGATTGTGCATTTCTGGTTTTGATTCGATTTTCTTTTTTTTAGAAAAATTAGAACGAGAGCCATTACTTAGTTCTTCCAAATTTGAATCAGAATTGGAAGCGAAACCAAATGATTTAGGAATTAGAACCAACATTCTATTTGAATTCAGTTTTTTGTTTTCAATTCTTCTATTTTCCAGTTAAAAAGTGCCACACTATTATCTACAATGATTAGGTGTTGGTTTAGTTCCATTTGATTCTTAGTAAGAATCGGAATTAAAATTAATATGAAAAATTTTTTTGATTCAGTTCCAATTCGATTTGAGTTTGATTCAATTCCCTTGAGAACCATGCATAGGCTTAATTGAAAACTTCAATTGAGCATATGAGAAGTCAGAAGAATCAAGTGACAATAATGTTTATGGTAGTTTGATCCATTCGGAGAGCAAGAAATCTCTATATTTATCAAAATAAGTATACGATAAAAAAATAGGTTAGGAATCAAGATTTATCTCTACTTGAGGGAATTTCAATTAAACCATGTTGTTTCCAATGATGCCATCTCTTTGAGCTCAGTAATTGATAAAGGTTAATTTAGACGTTGCATTATCAGAATATGCAGGGTATGGTTTAGGTATGGTGATATGCAATTGGAGGGGTGAGGTTATAACGTCAGGTGTAAAAAAAAGTTTCCTCTTATCTCCTTTAATCTGAAGTTGAAGCAGTTGTATTTGCCTTAAACACATCGTTAGAGCTGGAATTCTCTCATATAGTTTTTGAATCTTGATATCCAAATTTTGAAGAGTAATGTACTGCCATCAATAGAGTTAGGAACAAGAATTTTGACACTGAAAATGCTTGTAAATTCTTGTTCATTTTTCACTTGTCACATATTTATAGTGCAGGCAATAAAAGGGCTCATGTCCTTGCAAAAAGAGCTCTCTCTCTCTTGATTTCGAGGAGTGTAGAAGGTAATGAGAGCAAGATAGTGTTGGGATTATAACTGATCCGAGTAAGTTCTGCGGAAAAATACTCCAATAATTACGTATTGGATATTGACGATCGAATCTACCAGAAATAATAACCACAGTAAAAAAATTAAATAATTACCGTAAATGCCAAATGAAAAATAAGGACACCGAGATTTACGTGGTTTACCTTTCAACTGTTATGGGTTACGTCCACGGGACAAAAACTCCGAATAATGGACAAAAACTCCGAATAATTCTTCTACTAAAAATAGTATGTACAAAAGAGATTACAAAAATAATGGTACTCTAAGTGTTTTCCAAAAATACCCAAAAATTATAATCCTCACTATTTTCTCTCTTTTCCAATTTTAGGAACCCTTTACTAAAATTCTATACACTCTATGTATTTCTATTCTTTTTGTTTTTATACAATTTGTTGAGAGAAAACATTTTCCTATTTATAGAAGAAGGGGATGCGTTAATTGTTGAGAGAAAACCTTTTCCTATTTATAGGAAAAGGGGATGCATTAATCAACGCATCCACCGACTGCGCGCAAATAACGCATCCAACTGCGCGCAGTCTTCTATGAATAAGAAAAAACCACGTGACTCTTTTTTTTTCTTTCTTTCTTTCTTTCGCAGCCTTCATTGATTGCTAAAAAACGTGGTTTGATTCTTTCTTTTTTCTTCAAACTTGTGTGAGTCCCACATGTTAGAGGGGCCCCACAACAGATAGAAAGATAAGTAAAAATGAGAGAGTTTAAGAGATGAACTTCTCTCTTGGTGATTCATTTCATTAGAAAATCTTTTAACTTATAATATAGTAATAAATGCAAATACATAATTGTAAATACATTCACACAAAATACGAAGATAAATATGACTTAGATATATAGTTCAAGTCTTTTGTGCTTTCTAACTTTTATAATTTCCAGCACAAATCTCATATGGTCCAACTTGTTTGATGTTTTGGTTCTTAGTTTATAAAATTAGTTATTTTTTTCATAAAAAAAAAAAAAAAAAAAAAAAAAAAAAAAAAAGCCTTGATGGGTTAATCTCAAAATCAATAGCCAGAGAATTCATCTTGGAGGACTATTTATATATTGAGAGTCAACCTACTGTAACACTCCTCTGCTACCCAGGTTCTAAAACTTGTTACCTTTTGCGAAGCTCACAAAAAGTGGAGTTATTCTAAAAAATTGTCAATATTCTTCTGAAATAGTTGATGAGTAAAAACATTAACTATTAATTTAAAATGAAAAAAAAAAATTCTAATATTAAACATCATATTTAAAAAAAATAATTTTTATTACTTTTCAAATCGGTAGTATATAGATTTCACGAATAGATTTACCGTCCATTGATTTTCACCAGAGCCATCACGCATCTATGCATTAAAATTCATAAAATTAAAAAGATTTGACAAAATTAGAGACTATTGAGAAGTGCAACTTCCTTTTATAATTTGCTAATCCACTTCTTCTGTTATTACGCATCCATACACATCAATGGTGTTACAATATATGTATGTAAAGCCATGCAAGGGAAAGATTTTTCAATCCCACGTGGAACTCTATCCCTTGTCGATTTGTGTTTTTTTAGTTGTTTTTTCTAAAATTTTAAATTATTAGTATTTTGTTTACTTGTTATTCCTTTTTTGAATATTCAATGTTTGCAAAGTTTCTAAATTTAAACATATAAATAATTATTTTTCACATTATAATATTTATGATCCTTCATTAAATGAGCAATTTTAATTAATATCTTCAATGAGTTAAGGATAAAGAAGGATAAAATAATTTTTATTGACTAAATTTTTAATATGCGAATTTTATCAAACCATGCACACAAAATGGGACAGGAAAATATTTATTTTAAAAAATCTTAATACGTTTACCTTTTTTAATTGTGCTAACTTTGTGACTTCCACTTTCATTATGTTATAATTGTTGTATACTTTAATTAATAATCATGAGAGTTAGATTTATGAACTTAAGAAATATATATAAAGCCATATAAGGGAGAGATTTTTCCATCTCATGTGGAGTTCTCTCCTTGATTTATGTTTTCTTTCTAGTTGTTTTTTTTTCTAAATTTTTAAATCATTAGATATTTATTTTAAAAAATTAAGCTTAATATGTTTATTTGATTGTGTTAACTCCGTGACTTCCACTTTCATTTTGTAATTATTGTATACTTTATCAATAACCATAAGAATACAAGGTTTATTTTTATTTAATTTACCAATTTTGAAATTATGTTGTTATATTGCACGAAAATTTGATGCATGCAACGATTTAGAAAAATCAAGTTATTTTCTCAAAATTAAAGTATTTTTCAAATTTTTAAGTAATAGAAACATAACGTACCAAACAAAATTGTCTAAAACAAATTTCAATATTTTTTTATTTTAAACTTTATTTTTAAATATTTATAAAAATTATAATGCGATAAAAAATAAAAATAGTTTCAAAATTAGCGCAAAGCGCAAGACAGATGTAGAATAACTCTCACATAACTTCATAAAAGAAATGGGGAAATCATCATAAGTACAGAAAAAAAGAAAAAAAAAAATTACAGTGATGAACCTTTTTCGTCAAGGGATTCTCGAACTGCCTTTAAAAGAGATGGCATCAACTTAGGATTGGTGACAATGATGCCAGTGTCAAGATCCAGATATCTTCCTTTAGAAAAATCTAAAGGGTTTCCAGCAGCATCTGTGGCCACTCCACCAGCTTCTGCAAAAGTTAATTGACAATCCATATTAAGAACAAGAGATGCAAAATTTCAATTGCTCGGAAGTAATGACTGGAGGCAAATTGAAAAGCACCTGTCACAACTATATATCCAGCAGCATGATCCCATATCTTCTCCCGGTAACCTTTACGAGGGAAACGCAGATATATAGTCCCGTCTCCTCTGGCTAGAGCACCATACTTTGCCTGGCTATCAATTCTAACGGGCGGTGCTTTAACTCCAAGTTTCTGTACGCAAATTAATGTTTTAAAGGATATTGAAACAGACCAAAGGTGTGTGCGTGTGTGTGTGTGGTTGTGTTATCTCTCTCTCTCTCTCTCTCCTTTCTTTTATGCGGTGGAGAGAAGGCCGGGGGAGAGGTGTTTTAGGTATGGGTAGACAAAGGGGAAAATAATCATACTTTTGCAATTGAGCTGGACAAGTCGTGCATAGAGTGTGCTGCTTCATACGATTCAAAGAATGATGCTTCTTCAGGATTGTCAATTGCACTGACTTGCACCTGTGCAGCAGTAGAAAAACCAACTGATATGTGCGCCAACAAATGCAAGCATTAATTAGAATAATCTGCAGAGTTATTAACCTTTACTGCTGATGCACCATTCAGCGGTTGCATGTATGTTCCGGTCCCAACTTCAGCAAAGAAAAGGCAACCAATCTCACCATGCAGGGGAGATTGATTTGCACTACCAATGGAAGATAATGGAAGATTCGGGCAAGCAAGTGCACCCAACACTACTTTCCCTTCTTCAAGCAATCCTAAGGCAATTGCATATTGATCTCCTCTAAGAAACCTATTGTACAAATTAACTAGTTTAGCAGTGTCTATTTCATCCCAGTAGGTTAAAAACACAAGCATATAAAAGATCAACAATTGCACTTGCATAAAATCTCTAAAACAGCTCTAGTTTGAGGCAAGGTCAATTTTAATTTATTCCAAGTGCACCCTAATCTTTATTCCAAATCCAAGAAAGAAAATAATGAAGTAATGCCTCCTACCACAATGCTCCAAATTGATCAACAAATAAGGTCATTTTAATTTATTCCAAGTGCATCTTAATCTTTATTCCCAATCCAAGAAAGGAAATAATGAAGTAATACCTCCCTACCACAATGCTCCAAAATTGATCAACAAATTATTTTCTCAAGCCATGTACCTCATCTCCTTTGTAAACAAATAAAAATAATTCAAGCCTTGTCTCACTCAAACACTGCAAAAATCATCCATTTGCAGTGGGTTTTATGTTCTAATCGACAAAATAGAACTTGCATGGTTTAATGCTATGCATTTTGGTTATTAAAATCTAAGTAGTTTCCTTTCTAAAGTTGTTTATAAGTCCAAAAAACTAAATCTCAACCAATATGTTGTTTAATGATAGCTAGAGATACGATAATTGCTAGGTCACAACTCCAGGAGCAAGAATGAGAAGGATTGAACAAGAAACATGACATGGATATACAGAAAGATTTGCTTTAACTTGGCAGCAGCCAATTGAGTTCCTGATTGAGTGCCTAATCTTACTAGTTTAATTGGCAGCAGCAAAAGTAAAGTTAAGTTAAAAAACGAAAAGGAAACTAACATGTTCTAAAGACAAAGAATGAAAAATGAATTTAAAAAATAAACCAAACTAGTAACATATCACTACAAGTTCCAAATTAGTGTAGTTCAACCAACCAACAAAGACAAAATTTTAAACACTAATATCTTCGTTAGCGATTTTGTTTTTAAACACTAAAATCTTTGTTAATTAGATTCATGATATCACAATTTAATCCAATTCATCTGACTGTAGAAACAACAGATATATATAAATAACTGGATCCTATCATAGCATCAAAGGCACCAACTTCTCAGATTGAAAGATGCAAGTACTCTACTCATTTTATGCATTATGATTCAAGTAATATTCAAAGTTTTATGCTCACCCTTTTGTACCATCTATCGGGTCCAAGACCCAATGTCTGCCATGAGAACCACCTTCCGACTTGCCAGAGTCAATTGCCTTGAGCACATCCTCTGTGGATAAAGTAGAGACACCATATGATCCATCACTAGCTAGGGTATCATTTACAAGTTTTGTAATGCGCTCTAAAATTTCCTGGCCTTCGTTGGTACAAAGATCTCCTGAATCCTATAGATATTCCACAAATATTATGCAATATAATTTTAGATAGTGAAAAGAAAATTCCTCCTGTCCAGGCAGGGAAAAAAAAAATCTAAATAGCACCACTGACCTCTTCAGCCACCAGTGAAAATGTTTCGGATGGAAGCTCTCTCTGTAGCACAAAACTAACTAGTGCTTGTGAGCCTGCAATGAGAATATTAAAAAAGAAAGAGTAGTTAGTTGCAGTTGCTTTTTTATCAAACATAAAATCAGAAACAAATATTTCAAGCAGAAAACCATCAGCAACATAATAAATTCATAAATCACTTCATTTTAAACGCTATAAAAATGGCGAACAATGGCAATAAAAAGGAGAGCCCCAGAGCCCCAAGATCGTATGACATTCTTCATATTCATACCAATACAACCAAAGAGGCTGTTGCGATATAATTGAGCAGATTGTAAGTAGTTCATATCAAGATGACATCAACCATAAACATGGTGCAATTGTGTCCATGCAGGATTTTTCTTAAAAAAAATTAGTAAGCGATACAACTTTATAGTTCAACAGTGTCAAATTAAATATACAACAGAGCATATTATATTATGATTTTCTGGTTCTGGTCATAACTAACACACTAAACATTTAAAAGTAATTATCATTTTGTTGCAATAAAATAAATTATTCCAAACTAATAATCAAACTTAAATTATAATTCCCAGAAAATAAGAAATCAGTTCTCAAATTGTTTGGTAAAATAAACATGACTCACAGCTTTCATAAATGGATTGGTAATGACAAACCAATAAAAAAGCTTGAAAAGAAATCTCATTAGAATCAAGCGTTTTACAAACCCATTAGAGATTGGGACTTACAATGGGAGAAAAAAGAAGCTACTCCCTCTCTCCCCCATGCCCCTCCAACACCCCCCCCCAAAAAAAAAAAAAAAAAAAACATCTGCCCCTTCCAACCAACCCCCCCCCCAAAAAAAAAAAAAAAAAAACGCACCAAAATATAAAGAAAAGATCTTCCTCCAGAATCCACATCTTTTAAAAATGTTACAAAACATCTGGAGAAACGTCATGATAGACGCTGCTTTGCACATTGCAGGGCCAAATAGCCCCCCACCAAAAAAAAAAAAAAAAAAACGCACCAAAAATATAAAGAAAAGATCTTCCTCAGAATCCACATTTTTAAAAATGTTACACATCTGAGAAACGTCATGATAGAGCTGCTTTGCACATTGCAGGGCCAAATAGCACCGATTTCCCATAATTTTGAAATCCAAAGTATCATAAGAACCGCCTTTGCAAATACTAGCCAATAAAACGCAACTTTCAAAGCCTCTCTGATATTCACAGAATCAATTACAAAAAATACCTTGATGATTGCCTTCATTTACACTTTGGTCCCTCCTATTTCAAACCGACAATTTTGGTCCCTTGTAATAATATCAATGGAAAAATGAAAAGTTTTTAGGGAATTTAAGGAACCAAAGGGAATTTTATAATTTAGGGACTAAGCAATTGACTTTAAAATTTTGAGGAAATTTCAAATTTTTAAGATGAAATGACAACAGACAGTAACAAAGCCCAGGGACAAAAATTATCAATTCTGGAACAGTAAAGACTCAAGTGTATATTAAGGAAAACCTCATAGGACTTTTTGTATTCAAGCCATATGTTGAAGAATTTGATAAATTGAAAGATGGATCTTGTCTCCAACTTGTGCAAGAAAGGGGAAAGGGGAAAGGGGAAAGGGGAAAAAAATATTCTTAGCTGCATCTTGCCAACTATTTCCGAAAATTAAAAAGTTTACTAAAACTATAGAGAACAAACATGGCACATTTGGGATGTAAGATTTTCCCATTAGATAAGAACTGCCTGTCTTAATTTTCAATGAATGACCCAATTGTTTCAAATCATAAAGCTATCGAATACGGGTGAACTTTATTAGCAATCATGAACAAAATCCACCGATAAATACTCAAAAGAACAAGAAATCAACACATTAAAAGGGCAGCCTGGTGCATGAAGCTCCTGCTATGCACATAGTCTGTGGAAGGGTCAGACCACTTTGGGTATTAACGTACACAGCCTTACACTGCATTTTTGGCAAGAGGCTATTTCCATTACCCAAATCCATGACCTCCAGTTCACACGGTGTCAACTTTACCGTTGTGCCAAGGCTTCCCTTCAAACTAACGCATTGCATTAATAAAAAATTGATGAATAGAATGTTTGACAACAAACCATAATCAGCCACTGTAACAGGACTTTTATCTGATTTTGATTGGACATCCGATTGCAGTAAAGCCTTTTGTACTTTCTGAAAATCAAAGAAAAGTTAAATACAATAACATGAATCCTATTGGAAGATGCAACAGGAAATTAAGCATAATTAAATAAATAACAAGTTCAGATCAAGTTTCAATTCTAGTTCAGAAACAATTGCGCTAGGTGATGCATAACAGCATATTGTCATTTATCAAGTTATACAATTAACAATCAGGCAAGATATATTTTTGTATTTATAAAGATGTAGCTAAGAAATTCCAAGCATCATTTTAAGGTAGCAAAAAACCAATTGCAAAGCCTATCGGCTCCTACTTGAGGCAAATATTCAAGAAAAACTTAACCACTAAATCAGCAGCAGTTTGCACTTTGTTTCTTTGTCTTAGAATGCACATGCATGCATGTGCACTTGCTTACACACCTTAGGGAGAGAAGGAGAATAAACAACAAAACTCAACTAAGCTAAGACTGAATTCCGAAAACTGAACCAGTTACGTAAACCCTTTGCAAGACATCATCTCCTAATGGATAAGACATGAAGTACAAGAAATGGCACACCTGATTATGCCCAAGAAATGAAGAACATAAACAATACATGGAACAAAGGAATACTAGATTGTATCTGCTTTTGCACCATGACAATCTATCTCACTCAAATTACGTACAGTATAAGGGGATCCCTTGCTAGAGCTACACGTGAAAGTTTCCAAAATTCACACCCAGTTTCATCTTATGCAGTAGATGGGTAATTGTTGAAAATATAACGTTATTATTCTTCTAAAGCAAACTTTTAAACATCTATTACTAGCTTTACTCATAACATATCTATCAGCCACAAAAGTTGATACATCTTAATAAAGAAGCTGATCAAGCAAACCTTAAGGCTAGATCCCAAACTAGGAGTCCCTTGGTTTCCTTTATTTCATCTGCAATATGTTCAACATTCTACATTAAAGCTTTTAGTCTCTAATTTATCTTAAAATCCCTTCTCTCAATTTTTCCTGATTGGGTACTAGTTCCATCTTCCTATGAATGCACGATGTTCTGTTTATTCTTTCGTTTTTGCACATTTATCTTAGCATTCTCATTCCCATTATGCAAATCTTATTTATAGATATCGTTTCTCTAGCACCCGAGACTTGTTGCCATATGCCATTGTTCGTTAAATCACAATTGTCTATTCTGTAATTACCTAAGAATTATTCTAAACTTCTATTCCCACTGACTTAACTTATACTCCTTCACGTAGTCACAAACATGAATGAAGTATGTCTTGGAGATAATTACCTCTTCACAACTATTACCCATCTCTCTTTAGCAGGAAACCAAATTAGTATGTCTATATTTTAGAATAATCATCCAGTAATTTTGTACCTAGTTAGGACTTTCTACTTTGCTTTCCTCTATATAAGGTTCCAGATATAGGCTAGTTCTTCAGTTGAATTAAAGAAAATAGGGTGTGAGAACCTAAGGTACATCTCCCACCGATCCTACTTTAACCCTATAGTTGACATCCTGCTTTCTTCCAACATTCCTTTACATAATAAAAATCTAGATATCAAAAATGTAGGCATTGCAGGACCTCCATTTCATTAAGATTATCCAACTTTAATCAATCCTTCCACAGCTAAAATTGCAGTGCTACGACTAATTTTGCTGATGGGTAAACATTGTGCTAATGTTGTGCCGATAATTTTTCATTCCTGATCCAGTCCATTTAAAGTAGGTTTAACATCCAAATGAATGGGTGATGCATTTTACCTGCATATTCTCTCAAAACCACAATATCACATTTACTTGCTGAAATTTTCAATGGATAAAAGTGATATTTGTTTCAACGCTTGAAAATAGTTTCCGATAACTTCAATTTTATTTTCATCAGACACGCCTCAAACTCCACGTGAAAAAGAATTAGTCCCACCCACCACCCCCCCCCCCTGTTCAATGGATAAACAGTATATTTGTTTCCAAGCTTGAAAATATGTTTTCCGATAACTTCCACATTTTATTTGCATCAGACCACGCCCTCCAAAACTCCACGTGAAAGAATTAGTCCCACCCACCACCCCCCCCCCCCCAAAAAAATTTAATGCAACTATATAATCAACAAGACCAGCCAAACCACTTGGTCGAATCTAGCTCAAGCCCCACCCAACCAGACATCTCCTCATACATTGAGTTGCACCCCCCCCCCCCCCCCCCCAAAAAAAAAATTAATGCACTAATAATCAACAAGACAGCAAACCACTGTGAATCTAGTAAGCACCCAACCAGACATCTCCTCATAATTGAGTTGCATTTTCGTATTACAAACTAGCACTTCAACATAGAAATAGACACTTACATCAGCCAAAAACCAAAACAGCAAGAATTAGCAAATCCGCAACAAGCTTATTGCTCAAATAAGAAATTTAGGTTCTGGTTCACGCTCAAATAACAATCTGCAATCCAAAATCTATTATAGACCAATTACAGCTAAAACAATGATAAGTATCCACGAAAAAAGACAGCCCGATTCTGTATATGTGTGTGCATAGACTAGAGAGAGAAAGAACGATGCCTGGCAGAGGCGAGCAGAGAGCGAAGCGGCCTTCTTAGCGGCAACGAGCTCCTTGTCATAAGACATTGAAGAAGAAATAGGTCTTAATGTCAATAACGAAGATGAAGAAGAAGAAGAAAAAGAAGAGGTTTTGGAGTTGGAGAAGAGCAGAGGGACAACAAATGGGTTTTTGGGGTGTGAGAATTTGGATTTAACAATGCCTAAGCCATTTACAGAAATCATTCCTCCTTGCTTAGTCGTGCCTGATTGTATTATTACTATTTCAACTGGGGTTGCGTAAAATGCAACTGTATACAAGGTGTTATAATTTATAAGCCGTTGGATCATTTCTGATTCCATCCAAAAGCAAGAATTTAAAATAGTTAACCTGAATTCTTAACTTTTGAATTTTTTTTTTTTATATATATATAATTCAAGAATTCAACTGGTGTTATAATTCCTTCTGAATTTTTTTTATTTTAATTTTATAGTAACCTTAACTTTGAGGAAGATTCATTGTACTTTTAAAATTACAAATTTTGTGATTATCATATACATTTCTGGATTAACAATAATAATAGTTTTTACAGGCTTTGGTATGTAAAAATGTTTGATAAGTAGAATTTTATAAATTAAAATGTTTAATATATCAAAATAATAGTTTAGGACACAACAAAATTGGATGGGAGTTTTTTTTTTTTCTTTTTTTGAAAGAAAATATTGAAGAAACTAATATTTCACCACGATCCACGTAGTTTGAATCTCTCCGATTTGAAGAGAAAATAATAGAGAACAATGCACATTTCACTTATTTTTATTAAATTACTCTACCCCAAATTTTTATTAAATCACTCTACCCCAAATTAATAATAAACTTTAACATTTCTTAAATACCTCTTAATTAATTGAAGATATAATTGAAAATTTTCAATAATAATATTTTCTTTTCTATAAATTTATTTTGAAACGTAATTCATTAATAATAATATCAAGAATTACAAATAATCATATAGACTAGACATAGAACTTTATTATTTGTAACTAATAAAGTTCGTTGATCTTTTAACAAAACAAAAGAATTCATAATGAAACTAAAATTCAAAAATATAATATTAGATTTTTTTCGCTTGAAGTTGATCTTGATAAAAGATATAAATCTCCATAGCAGCAACTAGTCCCTCAATTAATTTGGACAATAAAATAATAACTTCTCTAGATCTTCTATACATTGATTTATTTTCCAAGAATTTGCAAAATATGATGAACACAAATGAGTTTTAACCACTATGCATTAATAGCATCAATGGAGGAACATGCCACATTACCAAGCTCCATTGATTGAAGATCCATGTCTGCAAAGCATGGTCTAAAATCTCCAACAAAACAAAATCAAATATCATATTTTTATTTTGTAATAAACCCTCATAAAAAAGGGATTATCCTTACAAAGAATGAACAAAAAAACTCCAAATATAGATATAAAACAACAATAATAAAAATTAAAAAAAGACAAATCCAATATAAAAAACCATATCTGAGTTTATTAAAGTGCAAGCAAGATAGTGAAGTGAAAGAAAGAGTAAAAAGAGAAAAAAAGAGAAAGGAGAGGGACTAAGGTTTTCTCTCTTTTCTTTAAAATTTTGCCATTTGCAAATAAAGAAAAGTATATTATGAAATTTGTAGATGTCTTATATAAACTAAAATATATATTGGTAATTAGTGCATAGACTTATATTGTTAACTAGTTGAAATTTGGCGCTTTGCTCTCAGAGTAATTGATATTGTTTAAAATAATTATTATACTAAAATTATATTGTTAGAAAATGATTGGATAGGTTGTTTTTCTTTAAAAAAAATTACTATTTATCTCTTATTTTATTCCATTTAGATAGATTGTGTATTTAAATTTAATTAGAAATAGAGGATGAATTTAAGTTTAAGTTTTGAACGTAAAACTTGTGACGAGGTGAATTCTATATCGGCTATGCATAAAGTGGAAACGAAATGCATAAGAAAAAGTAAGCCTTAGACTAGCAAAAGGCCTTTAAAGCTGTGGGGCTTGAGTTGGTTCGACAAGAGCGGATAGTATCTTGCAGAGTCTAAGGTGGATGTGAGTTGGTTCCATCTTGTCAACTTGTAAAAAGGTGTTTAAAGTCGTGAGGCTTGAGTTGGTTCGGCCAAAATGAACAATATTTTGTTAGGCCTAAGATGTGACAAAACTATAAAAATTAAGTATGTTGTTAAATTATTTGTGTGTAGATGATTATAAATGTATTAAATAAAAAATGAAAAATCAATTAACAAGTATAATATTTATTGTAGATAAATTAATTGATAAAAAAAATGATAATAATTTTGTCAATAAATTGAATTTAATGGATAGAATTTATTTAATCAATTACTATATTAATAGCTGGAAAAATATTCTTTAACAAGAAAAAATTTCAAAACCAATGCTTATAAGATAATTTAAAGGAATAAAGACCAATTTAATAGACTTGTAAACAAAGGACAAAAAGCCCAAATTTGAGCTTTAGGATCATTTTCCCCGTAACTCATGTTATCATGGCCAAATAACTCTAATTTTCATGCGTTGCAGTGACGTGTTCAAACAAAATATAAAAATAAAAAGAAAAGAAAAAATGGAAATGTTATTCATTTTTGGCTTAATTATAAATTTAGTGTCTGAATTCTAGAAAAATTTTTATTTTCAGTGTCTCAACAAAAGAACATTTGCAATTAAATTTCTGAATCAATAAATTTTTTCCAATCAAATGTCTCCGTCTTACATGGCTTGCTGGAAATATGAATAGAATTTGTAATGTTCAAAAAATAACTAAGTAGGACATTTTGTGGTTCGACACATCGAATTTGACATGTCAAACGTGTAAAAGCCAATTGATAAAATTGCCCTTAGTAAAAGGAAAAGGCAACTGATCGATCAAATCACTCTCATCCCCAATTAGAGAGAAAAAAACCCTAGTGCAGTCAAACTTTAACCCCAAACGGAATCAAAGCCTTATCAACCCCCTCAAATTATTTTCGTGATTCATTTGGTATGAGAGGATTCAAACCAATTCCAGCACCATATCTAACTTGTCTTGTAACGCCCCATTTTTCTATGTCTGAAATAGTAAGTTACCGGTCTGTGAATAATGCCATCGGTCCGAAAATTAGTATTATTTTGGTCCGAAAAAATTACTATCTATGTGTCATATTTTCTTTAATATTTTTGGAGTATGCATACATAATTTTTATGGGTAGAAAGTAAGTAACAGGACTTCAACACCAATTCAGCACCATATCTAAACTAGCTTTGTAACGCCCATTTTTCTATGTCTTGAAATAGTAAGTCTACCGGTCTCTGAAATACATGCCACTCGCGTCCGAAAATAGTACTTATTTTGGTCCGAACAAAACATACTATCTATGCTTGTCATTATTTTCTTTAATATTTGGGCAGTATGCCATACATAATTAATATTTTTGGAGTATGCATACATAATTTTTATGGGTAGAAAGTAAGTAATGAATATTTTTGGAGCATTTAGATAATTAGTAAATAATTAATTATGGTGTTATACTAATTACGGAAATTAGAGGCAATATGTTTATGGAGTAAATTTGAGATGGTGTTATATTAATTAAGAAAATTAGAGAAATAATTTTTAAGGATTAAATTTGAGAATTTTGTGGAGATATAATATTTTGAAGGAAATAAATCGGAGAATATTTTTAGCTATTGGATTAGATTACCATTGACTAATCTTAGCCATCCAATGTTGAAAAAAGACTAAAATACCCTTATTGCTCAATTATTTGAGCAACCAAACCATTTTCTCGTTTCTCTCTTCTTCTTCCTCTTCAACGCTTGGCAACTTGTCCTCTCCCTTCCTTTCTCTTTGTTTTTCCTTCAATTTCTACATTGATTAAACTCACTAAATGTAACAACCATTAAACTGATTAAGGAATCGAATCTTACGAGATTAAGCTCTGAGAAGTGATTTGTGGTGATTATTTTAAAAGTTTAATTTGGAGAGTTACTACTTAAGCCAAAGGGTGGAGAACCTCTCTACCAAAGAGAAGGGCCAAACTAAGGCCTTCAAGAGTTTTATTGTAAGCTTGTTTAGAGCTTATGTTTTAAGGTAAAGTGTTCATAAAACACTCTTACCTTTTTTAATTTGGAGTTTGCTGAAGTCTGATTACTATTTTCGTGAAAATTTGCGCGAATCTATTACTGAAATTATTTTGATTATTGAATTCGTGGTATGAAATGTGTCTCTTGGGAGATTCTCTAAAGCATGCCTATATACTCTGAATCGATGAGGAAAAACATGTTTCTTCTTCACTTTTCCAAGAGTTAGGCAGAACCCTATTGATGAATAAGGGCCTCAAGTGTCATTGGTTATTCTTTGTTGCGTCTCTATCACTCCTTAAGATTGCATGTTTGCATGACGTATTTAGTATGGTGCGTAGAACAATCTGCTTACCTCGTACTATGCATTAAGTAAGCTGAAACTTTGGGAACGAAGTCGGTTATTGGGTGTACCTTCCAAGACTATCTTTTCAATCCTTTTGTATTTTCCAAGGTTGTGTCTGAGTTGTGTCTGAGTTCTTCATGAAAGTTGTAGGTCTACTTCTTAGCTTTCCAACCCATCCTCTTATGTTCAATTTGGATATATATAGCTCCACTTATGGCTAACACCCAAACTGACTTTGTTATGACGAGCCACATGCATCACTGACTTGAGTGCTCATTTTGACCAATATTGGCAAGAATATTTTCTAAGGTCTTCATGAGAGTTGTTACCCTGTGTCTTGAGAGTTCTTTGGTTTTGGATTGGTTTAATTTGAGTGTTTGGATAAGTAGAAATGCAACAAACAGTGGACTTGGTTTTGCTAAATCAGGTCTGGACTATTGGTTTGTCTATTGGTTTGTGTTCCTGGTCTTTGTTTACCATCTTACACATTTCATAAACTTTGTATCATTTTGTCTTAGCTTTCTAATGAATCTAATTTCATTCAATTCGAAGCTCTATAATACAATTTATGTCTTAAACACTCAGCAAAGGTCAAAGTTTATTTAATGCTGAATATTTTCTATGTCTTGAATCATAGGTTTGAGAAACAAAAACGATGGAATTAGAAAGTGGTATAAAGAGTTATTTGTTCCTTAATGTTTTAGCTATCTATAAGCTTGAAAATCATCTAAATTGGACTTATAAATTAGCTTGAAAATCATCTAAATTGGACTTATAAATTAAAAGATATGACAAAAATGGTATAAACTGTGCAGGCTGGAAACCAAAAGCTG